TTTGTATTGCTCATCCTCACTTTCCAGGCCCGCCCTTTATCTGCAGTTGGTGACCAGTTGCTGTCTTCCTGCAGGCTCCCTTGCACAGCTATGTGGTGCATGTCAGACTTTGCAGAGGGCCACTTCAGCATTAAATTGGCAGGGGGGGGAAAAAAAAAAAAATCAGTAACACAGCTAACCAAAAAATATGGAAAGGAAATTAGAGGGCAAGACAGGGTCGCAGCAGCCAGTGTTGATTAAGTCTGCTTTGGAACAACAATGCTTGACTCGCCATTTTTAGATTTCCTACCTTGTGCTCCATCCCTGACTTTTCTTATTGCTGTTTCTGTCTTCTTTGCTGTCACTCCATGATCCTACATAACTTCTCCTTCAGCTAAGATCCTCATGTTGTTTTTTCAACCTAAAAAAGGTTTAATACCACAGCAAAGTTTAGGACGATAGTTCAACTTGTGCTGTACCATGAAACATCACCATAACCTTACTTTGCTCTTTGGTCTGCCTTAAACCAAAACCATAAATCAAGTACTTTCTGGGTCAAACTGAGAAGCAATGTCTTTACTCTTTATGGGGAAAACAGATATCCCTCATTTCTCAAACACATAATTTTGAACATGTACAGTCATAAATGAATACAGCCACATATGAACTAGAAAGAAGTTTGTATTTTGAGGTTCTGTGTTTATCCTGCATACTTCCAGTGATAAATGTGTCAAAAATATAAAAATACCATCAACTGTTAAAAGAAATACAACTCAAAGAAGAGGTATGTGTGGCACTTTTTAGATACTTTTCAAATACAGCTGCCACATCAGACTGTGAGGGTTCTATCATTATAGGTCAGTCTGTATCACAAGCCAATGAGTGAGTAGCCTCTTAAAATCTACAAAAGAGAGGAGACGATAAGCACTTAGCAATAGCTTGGGGATTAAATAAAAGCCTTAGGAGCAAGAGAGAGTGTATTTATGCTCTGTTGCTCCTCAGTCTGTCATTTTTAAACTTGCATGCTAACATTTCATTAGCTCCGTAACACTCCCCTGAATAAGTGAACGGGTGATGCTAACTTCACTACCGCATCTAAGGAGGTTTGGGACATCTGTAAGGATAGTGCCAGGGAAGCGTGAAACACAATTACTGCTAACTTCCAGCTTTCCAGACGTTAATGTAGTGAAAGGATTTGCCTTCCTCTGAAATACAAAGATCTAGCTTGCACTGTTCGTTCCCTTTAACCCCACCTTGAAATCAGGTTGCAAGAAAACAGACCTGTAATGCCAGATAACAGTAACAGACTGGGTAAAGTATGCATTAAACAATTTGTTCTTCCCTGGAGATGAGTATCTGGCTGAAACACTATTATTTGGCATTTGGAATTAATGTTTTATATACCAGTTGCACTAATCAGCTGAGGCTTTTGCAGAATGAAGTATATTTACCAGCTCAGAAGTAGTGTTCCCAGATGTGCCAGCATATAAAAGACATTCAGACAAAGAAGTTTGTGTTTTACACACCTGGCTAGAGAAAGCAAAGGCTGTGCTGCAGAGATGGGATTGCTGCTGTGCCGCTCTTCGGCAGGCTTTACCCTGGCCAACAGCGACACCGGGAGGAACACGACGATTTAAATAAATAAATAAATAAATAAATAAATAAAGGCTCTGTTATGCCTTACTGTGTAAGTCCCTATCCCAAAATGCAGAAGCATTGAGCTGCATGGACAAATCAAAGCTATTAATTTAGCAGAAGAAAGAGAGACTGTGGACAAGTATGTAACTTTGTACCAGCTTCCCACAGGCAACCATGTTCAAAATGCAAAGTTAGATGAGATGCTTTGCCCTGCAAGCAGCACTTCAGAGGCAGCACAAGTTTGCAAACAACTGAATGCAATTAACCCGTTAGTTTTCAAACACTAGGCATGTAGCAAATGACAGCATGTTTTGCTGATCAAGGAATACACATTTCAGAATACTGAAAGACATTTAAAAAGTCCTTGCCAAGCCATTGTTTTTACTTGAAAATTTAATTCTACATGATTAAGACATTTTACCCATATATAAGCCTTAAAAATTGTCCTTTTCCAAACAGGGAAGTAAGAGTATAGACTTGTGCAATACATGCCCAACACACTGGTACACCACCAACGTGGCAAATGATTCAGAAAACAATCCAGGCAAAGAGCTCTCCTGTAATTTACACATTATTTTTTACATAGCTTCTGTTGAGATTAATGCAGAGACTTGAATGGATCAGTACAGGCTAATGAGTCCTGAATGCCGCAGTTATACATAGAATACCTCATACAGAAACACAGGCAGCTGCCGTGAATTGAGTTCTGGCAGCTCGTGGTTTTGAGCCCATCCGGAAACAACACATGGAATTGAATGACAGAAATACAATGAGAAAACAACATGATGTAGTATGAATGGGTTAGTCTGTTAGTACTGAAAGGTAACAGTGAGCACTTTCCTAGTTGTTTTAAATTCAGGACTGCAGGGCAGCTATTTGCAAAAATCCAAGTTGAGACCCACTATTGGCAAGTAGTATTCCTGGTTCCTGAAAACAATTCCGGTACCAACTCTGCTATTAGAAACTGGAATAGGATGCAATAGAATGGAAGAGCAGCAGCCTGCAGCTCACAGCCTGCAGGTTTGATCTTTCACCATTCATTAAAAAAAGCAATTGCTGTTTGTTTATCAGTGACATTAGTAGAATTTGCATTTTTCTTCAGTTATTAATATGGCAAAAAGAAAGGAAGTTACTTGCAAGACTGTTCCCATCAAGGTCATTTCACAGTAAGCAATACTGTGCTAACAAATGAATTATTGATCATGTGTCATTTAACACTTGTTATTCACTGGTGTTACACACTCAGTGGTAATTAAGTTTATGCAACAGTGGAAGCCGCTGATAGAATTTGTACTAAAACTGCAAGTTCCATTATGTTGCACATATGAATAGCTCCAATTTTATGAATTCTCAAATTGCTTTCCTTGGGTGAGATAACCCAATGACAGCTAATACAGTTTACAATCTCCTGAGTGGACTTTCCAAATTAAAGCAGAAATTGAGAAAGTGGGTGCTTACAGTATCTTTAACCTCCTTAGTTTAATACTTCATCATAATCATAATGACTTATAGGCACGTAAATCCTTGCCAAAACCTGTTACAAGCTGCAGCTGTCTTTAAGACACTCTCCCCAGAGCCACTTCACTGGAAATCATTTAGCTAGTCAATTTAGGTAGGATTCTTCAACAACGGTAACTATATAAATAGAAGGGCGGAGAGAAGCAAATTGCAAAAATCATCTGAGGAATTCAGAGCTGTCTGGGAAGCAGATGAAGTGTTATGACTACCTGCTGTAATGCCATACTAGCAGTCCAATGGCAATGCAGGTAACATGATCTTTGGAATAGTGATTTATATACTCAGCACAAGTCAGGATGAATTTGTAATCTACTTAGAGAGCAAGCCCACATTTGTCTACATAAAGTCCATCTAATGTGCTTACCAATAATACACAGAGGTAGTCACACAAGTATTTCAAGCTGAGTCCTCTGCAAGACTACTCAAAAGTTTGTGTTGAAGAAATTATGTACCAAAATGTCGTTAATGTTAAAAAAAAAAGTTTAGCATGTTTGCTATACAGTAACCCTCTTGATTACATTCCTACATTTTTTTCCATTCATATTTATTTTCAGATAGATTTGGAGACCAAAGACACTCATCATCCCATTTTTGTTATGTTCAATGGCCTGAGTTCACATTTCTAAAGCCAGATGGCAGAGTTAAACATATTCCTGTAAATTAAACCAACGGACTTGTGAAATTATTTTATCCAAAAATAGTTTAGAAGGCCTTTATTATCTAGAAGAACAGATGTGACATAATGAGGCTATCAAAAAACTATTAATAAGCAGCAAAAATGGAGAGAATTTCTTGAACTTACTTTTCATAGTAACATTCAGTGCTACAGAACAGTGTTACAGAATACAGCTTCTATAACTTGTGCTATTTTCAGAATAATTACATTTGGAAATTGGATTCTTTGCCCTCTCTCTGCTAATGCTTTCTCTGTCTGCTTAGGGGATTTCAGTTCTGTGTGCAAATACACAACATTTTTACATAAAATCTGTTTCCTTGTTAAATGGCCAACCACAAAGAACTACAGGAGAGAATTCACCTGGCTGTAAGAGACTCGGCAGGAAAAACAACTTTGGCAACACTCAAAATACCTTCTACAATACAGATGTAAAATTAAAAACACTATGTATTTTAGATATTAAGGTGAAAGAAGACCAGCTAACATTGTAGTATGTTGGACCTTTAACACAATTTGGATGACATTGCTATTGTAACACCTTAGCATCAAAATAAAACAAAAGTCAAATCAGAGTCCTAGAATCTGAGTCCAAACTGAACAGCTCTACCATGTTCAGGGATTGTGGGAATTTGGTACACAAGATTGAAAGGAAATCTCCTCCAAAACCAGTACATTAAAAACCTCAGAAGTTACTCTGTGGAAAGCTAAAAATCAGCATAGTAGCACCATGCTTTTTCTCTGAGCAAGGCTCCTAACTGAGGTGCTGATGGCTGTGTGTCTTCAGCAGCCATGAGAAAACCCCACCTAAGATGAAAAACACATATACAATTTGCCTTTCCCTGGCAAATTCCTTCTGGAAGATATTTCCTCCTGGCTGCATCTCCAGTCCTTCAGCCAGTATGGTTGCAGGGTATCACAAGGGCCTGTGGCAACCTGATTTAGCTGTGACTCCTTCTAGTGTTAAGAGGAGGGTCCAAGAGACTGCAGTAGCTCCTGGTTGTACCCCTTATCTCCCAACAAACAGGGTGACAGTCTCCTTTCTAATGGAAAGGCAGGAAAACTAGAGCAGTTCTTTTAGCCCAGCAATACTACTCCCAGCTAGCAGCTCAGTGTATAAAAATGGACAGTCAGATGAACGTTCCTGCTCCAAAGCAACAAACAAAAAACCTAGAAGCCCAAGGTATCTCATAAAATGTACCTTTATTTATGCACTGAAAAATATCCCTGTACTGCCCACCTCCCACAGCAAAAGGTATCTGTAGGAAACTCAGCACGTAGTTTGAAGCATAGACCTAGTAGCTAGAAATACGAGGAAATGGTGGGGAGGAGGGGGATACAGACAGTGTTGATAATGAAATATAGTGATAAGGCAGCAGAGTATTATCCAGCCTGCCTGAATCCAAGTTTGTTAGTTTCAGTCACCCTCCCTTCTTCCCAAAGATGACATTTGAAGACTGAAGTAATAATTTCATACATGAAAGTGAAGCAATTTTAGAGTAGCTGATTTTTTGACAGAATTAGTATCCTTGCTGCAGAGAGAGAAGTTTCAGGTAATTAATTTTCTTCACCATGAGGCTTAGAAGGCAGTTGGTTCTGAAATGGTAGGAGAGTTCACGGCACAGCCGTTCATGAGGCTGTTACTGAAACTTGATTCCTTGAGCCAAAGGTAAATCCTTGCTGTAGTTGATTGTACTGGAAGAGAAACAAGTATTTAGATGTATTTACTATGATCAGACTTGATCACTGAGACAGATTATGCAGTTCATTTCCTATGTACAAGGCTACTGATTTCTGTCACATGTATAAAAAAAGACTTCTGTAAGCAATTTGCCTATTTAAAGTCACAAACCGAATTTACTCTGGTTTTCAATATAATATCTATGTATGGGGAAAGAGCACGTTCCCCATTATTGCTTCCTTGATAGATCAAAGAGAAAGTAAAGTATCATTCTCTATTTAATCTTTTACCATGAGAACATCCAAACAGAAAAATCAAGGTGGGATTTCTCATGTTCCTACACCTTTGCATGGAAACCCAAGTTAGCACAGGTAAAGGCTAGGGAGGCCAGCAAGACAGTGGGAATGGTCAGCCACTTAGGCTGTCAGGAGATTTATGGATAGATAAACCCATAGCTAAATCACTTACCACTGGCAACAGTGGCCTGCTCACTGTGGTTGCCACTTCATGTATTTCCTGACAAGTTTCAGTAAATGAATTTTTAGTTGAATCTGAAAGCAGGCAAGCGGGGAAAAAAACATATTTTTTTCCCCCTTTTGAGGAACAGTATGTAAAGAAAGGTCTTTATCTAGAACCTTCAAACCATCTTCTGCAAGGACACAGATGTAAGTTCTTGCATGAAAAGGCAATTACACTGATATGTGGTTATCTCATATTTAGTGAAGATAACCTTATGTAGTCAAGGATTTATACATTTTGAATTTTTGCAAGTTTATCTGTAATTTACACTGATTTGGAATTTTAAAAGTCTGTCTTACCAAGTAGACCGTCTCATATAAAGTTTCCATGAATCACTTCCAGATTCTCTTCCCCCACCAGTGTGCTTTTCACCACCTGTGGGAAACAGGTTATAAGGAAAACTTGAATTTTTGAGCATGGCTATCTGGACTAACTCCAGGAGGTAAGACATTTTTATAAAAGTTCATGGGAAAAATTACTCCTTTACCCTTGTTCTATATCTGAAATAAATTACCAGAACACCACTATATACAACTCACACAGCTAGCTCTCTCCTCGTGCTTGATCCAAAAAACAGCTGCCTGGACTTGAATGCCTCACCACACTGGCACAGAGGACCTTGTTTTAAAGATATTTTAACATAAAAGAGAAAAGTATAAGAAAATGCTGGGTCTTGTACTGTTTAAATGGTAAGGTGAGTACTTCTTCCCTGTCCTCCACTTCCTTCAGTATATACAAAAAGAGAAAGAAAGGCAAAACTGTATTTAAAGACTTTCTCACAAAAATACTCTATGCTGTATTTTTTATATACACATGCAAACATACACAACAAAAACGCTCAAGACTGTTTTAAACAGTTTTCCACTCAGCCACATCTCAACACATTTAGAACATACTTCTGAGTTACATGAGTTACATAAGGGGAAAAAGTGACACATGGAATATTCTAAAACCAAATACAGATATTCTTAAAAGCTGACATCCAACCACCTCTAGACACTTTCTATTTTCTACTAAAGCAGTACAGTTCAAAGTAAACTTCACTCATCCCTTTAGATTTAGTCATTTAAATGGACTGATTAAAATCTTGAAAAATAAGATGAGGAGACCTAAATTATACCAGTTTTACAGTGGTAATGCTTTAGTCTCTTCCAGAGTAATTAGAAAAAAATACCCCCCCCCAGCTTTAAAAAAAAAAAAAGAAGCCTGAAATCTCTAGACCTGATGCTAGAGGATTTAGTAATTTAAAGGATAAAGAAAAAAAGCATAAGTAACATACCAAAAGCACCTCCAATCTCAGCCCCACTGGTTGGGATGTTGACATTCACAATGCCACAGTCAGATCCCTTTGGCCTACAAAGAAAGACAAGACACTCCTCAGGATCAGGAAAGGCTCCTTCCCTAAAATGAGTGCTATAAGATGTTCAACTAGCACTGTGAACAGGTTTACAAAAGACATGAAAGACTGATCTTATGCTTCAAGAAGGTAGAAAAATACTTTAAATGATACCCAAGCCAGCGGAAAATCCTTCCCAAATCCTTGGTAAAGATACTGCTGGAAAGACCTTGTTTTACTTCATTATTCCAGGCGAAAACCTCATCTTCTTCCTAGAAGGAACATGTGTCAACAGTTAATCTATGATCATTCAAAGCAAAGCAGTAACAAAGAAGTGTTGTGAGAAAAAACCTAACATACCACAGCCATAATGCAAATAGATTGAATGCCACTTAGCAAATACACGTGCACCAAGTCAGGGATAGGATACCTCCACCACTGTGCAAAACACACAACCTGCTTTTGAGCAGGTTCACATGGACAATAAAAATCTGTTCCTGTACAGACTCTCATCTTAACTCCAGAACTCTTAACAGAAAATGTGTAAGTGTTGCTACACAGTGAGGTAAGCTATTAAAGTGGATATCCTAGAGTGCAGAACAACAGTTACCACTTCTTGAAATGCCAGGACAATTACAATGAACATGACATACATCTGAAATCTTTCTCCTGACTCTTCTGTTAGCAACCTTGGCACCTAATTTCCCATTGTTATTTTACCTTAAATTTCAGCACATACAGTATGGGGGCAAATGTTTCAGTGTGGACAATGGGTGCATTATGAGGAAGGCCAGTCACAATGGTTGGTTCAACATAGTTTCCAGGGCGATTTATAACCTTCAAAACACATAAAAGAACAATCAACTGAGTAAGTTCAAACCCACATCCTGGTTAGTACTAGTGTAGGAAGGGAATCCGTCATGGTCTGATTACTATAGTTGTGCCTAGCAATCAGAAACTTAAATTTTACTCATTTAAGTATTTAAAATACAGAAGCACAACTTAGTCTACTAAGCAGGTAATCAAATCTCAAAGTCTAGCAGCTGACAAAAACCACTTCCTTTCTCCTACTTGTAATCTGATTAGTAAACTGATTAGAATTTTAAAGGTATGGGGAATAAAAAAGGTGCCAGCAAAAGACAAGAATTCCCAGAATGTTAAGTCCATGAGAATTAAACATCCCATATGATGATGTGCAAGTGGCTCTCTTGAATCTTCCGTACTTCCTGAAGTTTGATATTGTGAATCCAGGGACAGAATAGCAATTCTTCTGTGTTATGTGTTTGATATTCACCATTTACATTGCTGTTTGTATTTTCACCATCACCTGCAACTAGGGACTAGTGCAAGGAACAGCCAGAAATGCTTAGCCATTTCTTGAAGGAGAATGTAGCTTCCAAGTAGACTCATCTTTACTCTGAAGACAGGATTGCAATTCAAACATTCTCAGACTGACTAACTTTAAACATCCTGAAATGGCTGACAGGACAATCTTGGCCTAAGCCACCATGTTACAGTATTTTTTCCCCAAGACTACTAAATGTAGTAGGGACAATAAAAGTAAGTCACCTTTCCACCACAGACCACAGAGCCACCCTGTTGTTTTGCTTGTTCTACCGCATCGAGGAACATTTTCACTGCTGCTTTGGTATGAAGAGGCCCATACAAAGTCTCAGCTAAAAGCAAAAGATCCAAACACATACTTTCAGCAAAACTGCATATGTTTGCAAATATTCTTATCATGACATTTGGGGAGTAATTATTCAATCTAAGATGAGCAGTATCAGGTGGATTCTTCATCTCCCTTTCAGAGTTTCTACTCCAAATGAAACCTGCTATCCCGACTGCCTGCTAAAATTATATAGCTTTGATCTATAATCTCTTTAGAATTTAAACAGACAAAAACAAACAGAAACTTGTCTCCTACACCCATGAGTTGGAAACAGCTACTTACAATCCCACGGATCACCGATGCGGACCTGGGCATAGGCCTTAGCAAGCTTTGCCACCACCTCATCATGGATGCTTTCATGGAGGAACTAAACAAAACGTGGTAAGAAGGTTGTAAGACAGCTCAGCCTGTGTAACTATTCTTGAAGTACTGCTGCACTTTTAAGAGGGCTGAATGAAATGTGGAGACAGTGTTGCTCATATTCAAATCCCAAAGTTAAAAATAAGCACATGAGCAAGGCCTCAAAACAGCACCAACACCATGAAAATGTCACCATGAAGATTTAAAAGAAGCAAAGAAGCAAAAGCCTGGTTTAATTTTACCCCATCTCACATCAATGGTATCAATGTGTTCTGTAAACTCTTCAGTTAAGTGTTTTAGGACAAATACTCAAGTGATTTTTACTGCTATAATTTGAGGAATCACTGCCCTTCCTATACACCCAAAGTTAACCCACATCAATTTTGACAAATATTTACCCATCAACCCAACTCTGAAAAAACCATACAGGCACAGGCTGACATTATAACATCTTTAAACTTGTTGAAAATAATGGTTAAAAATTAATTGTAAAGTAAGCAACACACCCACCCCTGCTTTGCTGAAATCTAAACCCTGCACCAAAATTTGTAGCAGGTACAAGCAAAGAAGCTCTGGCAATGAAAACAGAAATAGAAGTAGTAAGGTAAGTTTATTTTCCTGAGGTTTAGCACCAGGTACATTTAGAAACACATACAAAGAAACTCTTTAGAGCTAGAATTACAGTGGAATGAAAACTACCATCTTATTTTCCCATCATACTTATTTTTGACAAAGTAAAAACGTGTTTCAAAGATTATATGTCACAGTCTGTAATATTGGGAATTAGGCATTTTCTGACCTAATCTGGAGTAAGTTTAAATTCAGGGCTAACCAGACAATACACATTTACTCACCAGCCTTCTAGCAGTTGTGCACCTCTGACCCGCTGTTCCCACAGCGGCGAATAGAGCAGATGGGATGACTAGGTTCAGATCTGCATCTTCAAACACTAACAAAAATTAAAACATCAGCTTATTACTGAACTAAACAGGCAGTTTGAAAGACTTAAGACACTAAACAATATCAAACTGACAGGTTGGTCAAGAAGCATTAGGAACAGTTGCACTAGCATAGCACACTAAGATCTACAGAAACACCTCAAAACTCCTATTACTTTTACACCTGGAATTAGATACGTGCAATTGGACATAAATCTAAGTCTGAACTACTGAAGAGTGCTTTTTGCAATAAAGCTTGCAAAGAACTCCAGCTTTGTTTTAATTCAAGAAACTACAAGCAATTTCTTGCTGCTTCTTCACCTTGTTCTTCTCTCACTGAGGAGTCTAGCAGCATCAAGAAACAATGGTAAAGTGTATCCAGATGGAATGGTGTCCTGGTTTTGGCTGGGATAGAGTTAATTTTCTTCCTAGTAACTGGTATGGTGCTGTGTTTTGGATTTAGTATGAGAATAATGTTGATAACACACTGATGTTTTAGTTGTTGCTAAGCAGTGTTTACAATTAAGTCAATGACTTTTCAGCTTCCCAGGCCCTGCCACCAAGGAGGCATGAGCCTTCCACAGAAGGTGCACAAGAAGCTGGTAGGGGACACAGCCAGGGCAGCTGACTCAGACTGGCCACAGGGATATTCCATACCATATAAAATCATGTTCAGTATATAAGCTGGGGGGAATTGGCCAGGGACCACCGCAGCTTAGTAACTAGCTGGGCATTGGTCAGCAGGTTGTAAGCAATTGTGCTGTGCATCACTTGTTTTGTATACTCTATCATCATTATTATTATTCTCTTCTTTTTCTGTCCTATTAAACTGCTTTTATCTCAAAGCCCATCCCACCAGGAGGTGGGGGGAGTAAGCAAACAGCTGTGTGGTTGTTTTAGCTGCCTGCTACCACAACGCATGCAAAAAAAAAATTAGCTAAAACACACAGGTACACAATAATGTAAAATATACATAAGCTGAAGAAATTAATCTGGCTAGAAGACATTGGAATGCTTAAAGCAAAGCTAGTACGTACAAGTGTCAAAGGATCCCCAAAATATCACTCAGCTTAACCAGTCCCACAGAATTCCCTGGGTATCCAGTATTACAATTAAATTTGGGACGAAGTCCAACCAATGTTTATGCTGTTATTCAAAGTGAATTCCAGAAAAAGCAGGACTTTCATATGAAAAAGGAAACAATTTTCTAAGTATAAAGCAAGTTTATGCTACTGGCTGCAAAGCAGCACAGGAAAAAAAGAAATACCTTTTCCAATGTGATTTGCAAAAGAGCTTAACATTCTAGATAGGCAAATATATTTGTTCAGAATATGAGAAAGGTGAAACAGAAGGTTACAACACAACAGGTGAGCAATTTAATTATTTAGCTTATACTGTGTTTCTGCCACATTGCTTAGCTTCACAGTATTTATGTTATCTGAGAACTAGATCATATCCTAAGCTACTTAAAGCTGTAAAATGTGCTACTGAAATAAATACCTGCATGTTTTGCTTTCAAGGATCATGAGTGTCTTAGACTTTATATATATGTACTTATATTCTAAAATGCTAAAAATGTGTTGTTCACAAGATTAGAACTATCCTAAACCCAAATGCTAAATTTATTTAGCATTGTCCACATCCCATTTCTGAAGCTTACTGTTTCTCTCATTCCCCTCTTCACTTCAATGGTGAATACATGTAAGAGCTTGAACTTTCATTTTTATCTTAAAACATTACCCCTCCACAATACTGAAGACATAAAAACAACCAGGATTCTACTACATAGTTGGTTTT